CTTGCACAGGGTCCTGTCATATCAATCAGTGCTCTAGGAGGCCCTTCGAAAATCACGAGTTTGTGTCTATTTGTAGCGAAACATTGCTCGCTTTATTCCTTACCTATAGTAACCTTCGCGTGGGTAACTCCCTCTCCATTGTCTCAGCTCTTCTCCCCTGGACCCTTCCTCTCCTTTCCTCTCCTTCCAATTTGCAAACCTGTAGCCCTTTAACTCAGCTCCCTACAACCAACTCGTTGCCATGTCGAAGGAGATAGCCCGAAGCAGTACACATAGCTCAACTTCACAATCTAATAGTCCAGTAACTCCCAGAATGGGCTCTCAACTTGACGTCAAAAATCCTGCAATTTCAAGCACTTCCGAGGCTGTAGTTGACATTCAGACCGAGCCTCCAAAAGGCTTTGGCTTTTGGATGATCGTGCTTTCGCTTTGTGTTGCTGTTTTTTGTTCTGCTTTGGAAGTGGTATGTTTCGCTTTAATCCATTCACCCGCTTAACCGTGATGACAAATTGATCAACCCCTCATTTTACCCCAGACTGCTGTCCCTACCGCTTTGCCTACAATCACTGAAGGTGTTCATGGGCAAGACTTTGTCTGGGTCAACTCTGCCTTCTCCCTGGCCGCAACTTCGCTCATTCCAACAACCGGTGGTTTGGCAGATGTCAGTGTCTTCGTTTCTATCGTATATATAGAAATGCTGAATAATGATATCTTTCCTATTTCTAGATTTTTGGACGGAGAGGTATCATTCTATCATCATTCCTTCTTTTTGCTCTTGGAAGTGCTCTATGTGGTGCTGCAAAAGATATGACGTGGTTGATTGCTGGTCGATGTAAGTATATTCGTTTTCCTTGCAACGAAAATCATCTTTATACCTTCATTTTTACAGCTGTGCAAGGAGCAGGAAGTGGTGGTATCCTCTCACTTTCAAGTATCATCCTCTCCGATTTAGTCTCTCTCCGTGAGCGTGCAAAGTACAATGGTATCATTGGACTGTATGTTCCTCTTTGACCCGCTATATGACAGTCTCACTCATCTCTTGCAGGGTCTGGGCTTTGACGGCTTCTGTTGGACCTCTGATCGGTGGTGGGTTTGCAAAAAGCGGCAACTGGCGTTGGTTATTCTGTAAGTGAAATGTTTTTCGTGTTTCTATCTTTATATATTGCAATGTAGTGTGAGCTGACAAACATCGATCGATTGGGTGACAGATGTGAACATACCCTTGACAGGGTTCGCTGGCGTTTTGGTTCTCGTTTTCCTCAAATTGAAAACTCCGAAACAGACTCTACGTGAGAAGCTTGCAAGGATAGATTGGATGTATGTCCCAGTCGTCCTCCTTCCCATTCAATAAGTTGCTGATCTTCACTTGAAACTTCTGCAGCGGTAACTTCTTAATTGTAGCAAGTTCCGCATCTGCCGTTATTGGGTTAACATGGGGAGGAGTCAAATTCCCATGGAACTCTGCGAAAGTCTTGGTCCCTCTCATTCTTGGTCTTGTCGGCTTGGTCATTTTCACCATTTATGAGTTTACTGTTCCGAGAGAACCTATCGTACGTTGTTTTATACCCGAATTTGATGCACTGACGAGATTCTAACTGCTCCATCGTTCCAGATGCCTTACACTCTACTCTCTAACCGAACATCAGTCAGTGGGTAAGTTGGGTTTGTCCGTTGATGCTCGTTGCATGTGTGGTTCTGATGGTTCTGTTTCTTTCATTTTGCTAGGTACCTTCAAACGTTCCTGGCTCCCATCGTTATCCTTGGATGTGTCAGTACGTACCTTGATTCTCTTTGCTCAAGATATGAAATTCGTAAATTGCTAACTTTTGTTCTTTCCGTTCTTTTCCTTTTTTTCTGATCCACTCACTCATGCACACGCACGCACACAATCAATCGATCAATTCTCAATTTCTGTACTGCTCTCACTTCACTCACCAAAAACGCACAGTTTTCCAACCCGCATTCTTCCAAGCATGTTTCGACGCCACGCCAATCCGTTCCGGAGTTTTAATTCTTCCCTCCGCAGTCGTCGTAGGAGGATTCGTCATCTTAGGTTCCGTCAGTGTCGCAGCTACCAAACGATACAGACCACAACTTTGGTTAGGTTGGATAATTCTAACGGTCTCTTCTGGAGTTTCGTCAACGTTGAGATTTGATTCTTCTACAAGTAAAGCTATCGCTTATCCTGTTCTTATTGGATGGGGTGGTGGATTGCTTTATGCTTGTACTTATTTCCCGGTTTTGGCACCTTTACCGGTTTCGGAGAATGCACATGCGTTGGCTTTGTTTGCGTTCTTTAGGTCATTTGCTGGAGTGAGTTCTTTCTTTTTTCTCTTCGATTTTCTTTCGGTGATAGTTGAGGCTGATTGTTTGTTTGCTTTCGTCCACAGGTGTGGGTGACAGCTATTGGATCAGCCGTCATCGACAACTTACTAGGCAAAAAACTCTCCCCCGAAACGCTAGCTTTATTCCCCGGAGGAGCCAACGGAGTATACTTCTCAATCCCATTAATTGGATCAATGCCTGAACCAGCAAGAACAGAAGTTAGAAGAGCGTTTGCAGAAAGTATAGGAGTACTTTGGGAAGTTCTCATTGGAGTTTCGGGATTAGGTTTACTTTCATGTTTTTTGATGAAAGGATTACCTTTACATACTCAAGTTGATGAGAATTGGGGATTGGAACAAGGGCAGAAGAGTGTTGATCCTGGGATGGTTGAGAGGATTCCTTTGGAAGAAGCTATTGCTGAGAATGCGGTTAGTGGGGAAGAGTTTATTGCGCAAGGAGGTGTTGGAGGAGGAAGTGGGAGGGATGCTGATGCCAATATTAATGATGAGGATGTGGAGAGAGGGATGTCGGGATATAATAATAGGGAGAGTACGTTTACTACTGGGAGTGTTGAACCTTCTGAACTGGACAGGAGGGTTTCACAGCAGAATCTTTTGGATCGACATACGCATCACCACCATCTGGAGGATTCTGAAGATGCGTAATCGGTCGGTTGTTGGTAGTTTAGTACTGGCTCTGTTTTTTTTGCCGTCTTTCTTCTCTTTTCACTCTTGCGTCTTGTCGTATTTTGTTTGTTGATGTGGACTTCTGAAAATCTTTTGTCAGTTTTTATATATATATCGGATCCGGAATGCATATAAGTTAGTTAGGCTATTCATACATATGGTACTTGTTCATTATTTAAAATCTTTCTCGAGCCTCCTCCTCTTCATACTCCTACTCCCATTTACCTTGCTTGCGCATAGTACTCATGATTTGACCATGATGACCCATTGTACGAATAATATATTTGGCTCAGAATCGACGCTGTTCCCCATAACTGGGACTTTATTTCTGTTCAGCCAATGATGTTGATTGTCCCTCCCAAGTTGAAGTAACTTACAGTTACAGTATGTGCGTCTACTTATACATATCCGAGCCAGACTTCGGATTCCAAGTATGAGCATGCATGTCACGAATGGCCTTCCCTGTATACCTTCAAACCCTTCAAGTTCTGATTTTCATCATTTCTGTGTTGGTGGGTTCTTCGTACGTCCATTCCTTGGTCTATTCTCATTCATATATTTATTTACAGATCTGACAGGGTACCTTCCATGGATATCAGGTTAAGTGACTTTTGTTTATTTGTTGTTAGTTAAGTTATGGAATTTGAGAAGTTTGACCTTGGTCCGGAGCAGCAAAGAATATATATATATAATATGTTATGATCATAAATGGTTCACAATCAGAATAACCATCTTCTGAATCGAAATTCGACGATTAGTATGTTACAGTGTTAATAGTATTCCGCCGAAACCGAACCTATTATGCCCAGTCATGCCATTAATTGGGATGTCAAAACGAGAATGGAAAGGTTATTATTGTCACTTGTCGTATCATAGATCATACTCTGTAAAAAAGCACAGTTTCCAAAAGTCATGAACAGTCAGAGCATTAGCCGTGCAGGAACGGTGACTACTGAATGCATTCCGCTGACTGCAAGCTGACTTTGAATGACTTTTACCTCCAATTTGCTGACTTAAAACGTGCAAAAATGGCAAAAAATTTTGAGATGTATCAATTGATGGAGAAGTCCTCGTTTACCAAAATCATGCCGAGGTCCGAGAATGCGAGTAGAAAAAACAATGCAACCGTTAGGGATCGAACACCGTCCTTCACGACGCTGTTACCTACGTCGCTCACTCTATTCCGCTACGCCACCATGGCACATTTCTCTATCAAACTAATTGCTACATATACAGATGCGAACCATTTGAAAATACATTATTTCACTGTGAACAAAGCTCAAACTTGAAACAAATAATGTTCTGTAGATATGTTCATTGTTAATTAGCAGACACTCGTGGATAGCTAGTGTACATTGGGGAAAGTCAAGAACTTCATTGGGAAGCACTAGTAGCGCGACCAAAGCGCGACAGAAAATTCTCTAAGTCCTGAAAACGAGGTATCATGTACCAAACCACCACCCAATTTGTGTAGCAGTTGTAGTCCAGTTGGATAATGTGTAGGCTGGTTTTTTGCATGTTGCAACGACGTCGGCGGGTCGAATCCGGCTCTCAACTTTTCTTAACAAGAATACGCGAGATTTATGATTGATACTAGTTAGGGCAAGTCAGGGTTAGTCACCGTTTTTGCACGGGTGACTTTTACTGCCTTTCTCCGGCTTTTAGCATACATTGCCCCGACTTTTCACAGACCTCCCATGACTTTCGGTGACTTTTGAAAACTGTGCTTTTTTTACTGAGGATCATATATCATATATCATGGAAGTACGTTGCGATTGGAATCATCCCGAGTCAAGACTCAAGTCACTGGCAGGGCCATCGGGAGACATAAAATTCACATACACCCAAAGCCCGTCATAGGTAACTAACTATACTGCTTCATGCAATACAGTACATGATACCAACGATGCAAATGAGAAAACTTATGTTTTTATGTTGACAGTAGTCTACTTTCTGAAAAAAAAACGAATTATACATGCACTTCGTAAACTCCCTGGCGGGGAGTCGAACCCCGCTTTCGCGCGTTCCTATGACAGGCGCGTGTACTAGCCGATATACTACCAGGGACTTGTTCTATATTTTCAAGGGTTTAATAGGACTGGAATGGATTTGGCAGATTGCTAGGACAATGTAAAAAGAAAATTGGCGAGAAAGAATAAATGTTCGGATACGGGGAATTGAACCCCGGGCTATCGCGTGAGAGGCGATAATGTTAGCCACTACACCATATCCGATTGCCGAACATCACAGAGAATAGGCTAATATACTATCCACTACTGCTACTTTTTCAGTGACACGACTCGTCAACTTGATTTCAACACTGAATACAGTTCAATACATTGGCCAAAGCAGCTTCAGAAAATAATAAAAGCTAATGCTAGTCTTCTCAAGGACCAGGGTTGAATATGGCTATACTGGTTATGCGAACTTTGAAAAATATACTACCTCACTCTACCAGCCTAGCCTGATGCACACCCCTTGAATGTGAGGAAGGATGATTATCGATTCATAATTATCAATGTGTTAGTGAGGTTTTATTCTGAACCGAATCTTCTAACCTGAATACTTCCAAGCTACACACTCGGAGATCTACAAGATGCGACCAGATGTCGACATTGGTCGGAATATGTATACCCATACAAAAATAGCTACTTATCTACAACTGTAAGGCCGTCGATAAATGAATAATTAGATGAGTATGTCCATGCATGTCTCTATAATAATATGTGGCTGTATAGTACAATATTCACAAAAATGAGATCCAGACCCACGACTGGCAAAGCAATCAAACGTTTGTAACATTGGTATTGGAGCTATTTCGAGTAACCAACTCTTCTCCATGTTCCAAACCCCATTTCTTATCTAATTCGGTATGAAGAGGAAGACCCTTCATCAGAAAACATGACAAGAGACCGATGATGGCAAACCCGATTAAAACCTTCCATATGAGAGATATACCATCAGCGAAAGCGATTCGGATTTCGGTCCTTGCTGGGTCAGGGATACTAGAGAGAATGGGGATGGAGAAGTAAACGCCACTTGCTCCACCTGGAAACATGGAGAGAATATCCGGGGATAATTTCCTTGAGATGGTATTGTCTAGGATCGTCGAACCAATGGAGATAGCCCAAACCTGGCGCAATCATTCAGGGTCAGTATCATATGGTTGTATTTGGAGGTGTAGACTTACCCCTGCGAAAGAGCGGAAGAAAGCAAACAGTGCCAAGGCATGCGCATTCTCGGATACAGGGAGAGGTGCCAACACAGGGAAATAAGTTAGTGCAAACATGATCCCGCCGGCGACACCAGCAAACATTGGAAATCCGAATCCTTTAGGTATGGAGGAGTCGTATTTCAGGCTAGAAATCATGCCGCAACCGATCGCAAAGAGTACCCAGCCGATGAATAGTTGTGGTCGGTATTTTTTCGTGATGGTAACAGAGACACTGGCAAGGATGAGAGTGATACCGAGAAGAGCTGAAGCAGGTACTAGCAGAGCACCAGAGTGGATAGGAGAAAATCCGAAGCAAGCTTGGAAGTATGCGGGTTGAAAGACTGGATGAAAAGATGCACAATGTCCTTAGTATCAGGTATGATATGCAAGACCATCAACCACTCACTAACGAACGACAAAATAATGAGCGAGGTAATGAAAGTCTGAATATATCTGCGTTAACCGTCGTCAGCGGCGAGAATAATAGAGGATGTAGAATTGACCCACCCGCTGACAGAGGTTCGGTTCGAAAGAAGCCTCATTGGAATCTGCATTGTGTTGGTATCAGAATCTCCGAACGTCGTTTACAAAAAGACGCGTTGGGAACGTACAATCGGTTCGGGAGCATAAAGGCATTCGTATACAACGAAAACCACCATTCCAATAAAGCCGAGGACTAAAGGGACAACAACATTGGCGGAGCTCCATGGATACTTGACGCCTCCATAACTGAGGCCAATTACAACGGATGCTGAGCTTGAAACAATGAGAATGTTGCCACTAGGGAAGCAATTAGCACATCACATATATGTAATAACTTGGTCAGACTTACATCCAGTCAATCCGAAGAAGTTTTTCCCTCAACGATTGCGACGGAGTTCGCAATTGAAGGAATACAACGATAAGAGTTGCGCATAGTCCTGATAGAGGGAGATTGATATCTATGTGCGAAATATGAATGGGTTAGTACCGATATTGACTTTTTAAACCACAAATGTCCTACAGAAAAGCCATCGCCAATTTCCACTTTTTGCAAAGCCACCACCGATCAAAGGGCCGCATGTTGCAGAAATGGCCCAAACTCTGGATAAAGTGGCGGTAAGCTTAAGTGTGTACGGAAGATACAGTGATGCCAGAGAGGACATACAGGCCGATGAAACCGTTGTATCTGGCACGTTCTTGAAGGGATACCAGATCCGAAAGAATGATCATTGTCAAGGATTGGATCCCGCCACTACCGACACCCTGTAGAGCTGCTAGCACATCAGCAAACATAAGAAATAAGATACAAATCAAACCGTACCTCGTCCAGCAACTAGCCATGACATGTTCTGGGCAGATCCGCATAGTGCACTCCCCAATGCGAAGAAGAAAAATGAGGAAAGAATGACGGATTGTCGACCAAATATCTATGACATGTAGTTGTCAGTCTTGCAAGATTTGCATCGCATCACCACAAGAAAAGATAATCACATCCGCCAAGCCTCCAGTTGTCGGGATAAGCGATGTGGACGCAAGTGAAAATGCAGAGTTGACCCATACGAAATCCACTCCATGGATAGCTGCGGTAATCGTGGGCATCGCTGAAGGTACAGCGGTCTATTTCATGGAATAATAATCAGTAAATCTTAGGGAGGTGAGAGGAGAGGAAATCCGACCAGTTCGAGAGCAGAGCAGAACATCGAGAGACAGAGAGAGAAAAGAATCATCCAGAAACTGAGATCTTTGCGTTTGGAGGTTGGCAAGTGTTTAGTTGTAGTGCCGTATGATGATAGTGCGTCATTTTGCGTTTTGGAGTCGGAGTTTGTTGAGGCAACATTAACGGTAATGGTGGACTGAGAGCTCATCTTCTGGAGACTTGCCAGCAACGATGGAATTGGAGGAGAAATGGGTATACACTGAATCTTCTAGTCATATAAAACACGACGGCCATTTATGAGGAAATACAGAGGGCTGGAAATGCTATGTCGACATGTCTATTTGGAGTTATCAGCTTGTTGTTCTGGTATTGACCACCGGAGATTTTAAGAATATACAAATAGAATTAATCGCGAATGTCGCATCTCCACCACCAAAGTCTCCTCGAGGCTGGTGGTCACCGCTGAAAGCGGAGGCAATAACGCCCAGCTCAACATCGACGCCGGTGTTCAATATGTTGGCCTTGTTACAGTTAATTTGAAAAAAACATTGCTGTTCGGGTTAACCAAGGTAACTGGTTGTAGATCAAGGCCTACGAGAAAAATTCAGCTTGTTACCAAATGGGTTTGTGGGTGCGTAGAGACCAGACATACCGCGCACGTTGACCCGCTTGCCGTTGCACAAAAATGCGATGATGGAGGGTATAGCTTCGGATATAAGTTATAGACAATTAAATAAATCGCCTTGTGCGCCGCGGATGAGTTTCCGCGTGTGTTCCTTGCTGAATAAAAATCATGCGTCGGTAAGAATTGAGATAATTGGGACTGCACGACGAAATGGGAATTATGCAGGACGATAACATGGACGGAGAAAGACAATTAGCGCGCCGGGTCACGGTTGAAGATTAGCCTAGCTTGAATCTGAAGATTCTTTCGTTTTGGGCGCATCCTCGATGAATGGTACCTGGAATAGTTCAAGTTTGGTCGGTATTGTGGAGGGAGCGGATTTTCAGTTACAGAATGTTGAGCAATCGACTAGAGAGACACGGAAATCGTTTGCCAAGTCATTTATCGGTGTTGAGTATAGTAGATTATGTAAGACATCATTCATTATTTTTTCTACGCCTCGTGGCTACTTAACATCCCAGATAGCAGACGCCGAAATTGATGGCAAAGTGCGACTGTGTATCTTTAATAGTCATTTCTGTTCCACGAGATCTAGTTCTACATGAGACGCAGAGAGCAGTTGTTTTACATTTAAAGAAATATAAATATTTGCTTCCATAGGCCTGAGTCTTGGGCAAGCAGTACGAAAGGTCACAATACGATGGGCCTTTGTCTTTAAATTGTCTCTGCTATGATAGGTTAAGTCTTGAACAGATAAATTATGGGCTGATTATGCTACTTTTATAGTATATAAAATATTACTGATTCAGTGGTCTTTCTAAGTGAAGATTCCGACGCAATCAGATAGTGGTATGATGTGCAACTACTAGGGATAGTTTAGATCAAAGTTCAATCTGTGTAATGAGGTCAACGTTTTCGCAATGTTATACTCCGGTCCGCAGCTTCGTACGCACCCTGACATGGATGCTATTGTCAACTGAGTCACAAGCTCAACGTCCGGATCCTGCAACGAGTTCGGTTACATATTGTGTCGTCATACCAGGATTCAAAGGCTCGGAGATATCGTTGAATTTGACAATATACTTAGCCCCTTCAATATCAATCTTTAAGGAGCGCGTATATGATTTGGAACATGTAGCGGTCCCGCGAATCTGAGCTGTTTGATGTAACTCCGGTTGCTTGATGTAGCTTCAGGGTATACATGGGGGTTACATATGTATCAGACGGTGAGGCGTAGGACTAGCATTTATTCATGGATTGAAAGGCATAGTTAGTGCAGAATTTGATGTTTAAACTAAGTCCTATGGGGAAAAAGCATCAAATGATTCGAAAGAAAATTTGAAACATATACCTTTTTCAGGCTCAGTGGTCGTGTCTTATTACTTTCTTGAGATACTTCATGTGATAAATTATTTGATGCAAAATACATGTCAAACACAAGCATACCAACATGTGATGATTTCCGTCGAGAGGGGTGACTCACGTGGTAAGTTATGCACCTGTTCGTTTCACCCATCCAGACCACAAGTTTCATCGACCACCGAATGGAGAAAAAGATATCTCATCATCAATGGTGCTGGAGACATTGT